TCTTCTGAGTGGATTTTTAGTATTAGGAGGTTTCTTTTACGTTTATGGAAATCTTGGTATATTGAATACCATACTGACTTGTCTATTTACTGCCTCTGCTATATTGGTAGGAGTTGCTTCCAGTATGCTCCTGATAAACACTCATGTAGGTTTCTAATTATTTAAAATTTGAACAAAATCAATTAGTATTGTGGGAAATTAATGCTGCAAACACTTGTTAATGGAAGAAAACAAGCCATGACACTTTCCTCATCTCCACCACAATTGAAAGAAAGTTATGATTTGAAAACAAGAGCCCTCAAGAAAGTGTGGAGTATCATTATTGTAGTTACACTAACTTCTGTTTTTCAGATTATTGGATTTATTTTCACTCCATTATCAATGGTGGATCATTTTATGATGAGTGGATTTCATATATGTTACAATATATCAATAATGGTCCTTGTAGTTCTGTATTTATATTTATATGGACCTGTGAAGGAATTTCAACAATTATTCGAAAAGAGAGATTCAAAAGATTTGACAACCATTGTGACTGCATTCGATTCAACAGGATCTGAACGGATTCAGAAAGGATTAACCTTATCACATGTTTCGCCTGTGTCTCCTACCGATAGTGAAATAACCTCCAGACAGGAATTGTTTCAGATAAAAAATTCTAGGATTTAACAAAATACTTTATTAAGACATGTTGAATAACTTTAAATCTGAATTATTACTAATATTAATATTCAATTCATTATGTTGCATAACAGTACTTTGCAACATTATGATGGAAACTTAAGTTGGAGCAGATTACAACAGTGGAATGATAAGACAAGATATCGTACTCAATTGATTTCTTACTAATTACACTAATTGGTAATTATGCTTGATTCCAGTTCTACAGTATTGTATGGATTCAAAGATTGTAAAGTTTCATTTCTATTTACTAGTATCAAACAATTAGAAAGTTGAAAATAGACTTTCAATTCTTCCACTATCCTTCTAATTATCCTTTGAATCACGACTGAAAAAATCAAAAAAATGAAAACACTCATCAAGGTACGATTTTTTCTTGTTCAAAATGATGATTAAATATTATCTTTGTGTCGGAATGGAAAATTCAACTCTTATTTTCATAATTTTAATGTATTATCATGTATTTAATATATTGATAGATTAAATATTTTCCTCCTGTCATTGTTGTCTTGACAGCAATTTCTCTCCTATTTTGTATAGTTTTGAGCTTGTTAACAGCACCAGATAGTGTTTCTAAACATTTGCCTGCCCTGAGTGAAACAGGAATATTTCCTCCTACAAAATATATTTTCACAGCATCCCTTGTGATACCATCCATATGTTTAATAGTTGGAGCAATTTTGCAATTTATTACAACAAAGGAAAAATTAACCTCATTGGATCATCAACGACACACTTTAAATTATTGTAATGGATGTTTTAGAATGGGATGGTTGAGTATTGCATCCTGTATTTTTGCTTTGATTTCAGGATTTTGTTTACTTGGACTTGGAATTGTGCCAATTATGGGAGGAGAAGTTATTGATGATAGTTTACTTTCGAATTCTACTACCTCTACTACTGTA